TGTTGGTTAATAGCTGTCCAGTAGAATCACTAGGGGTGGGTGGAGCTTTAAAACTGTTTGAGGTTTAAAGCATCCCAGAAGAATTCATTTAGAATTGCTAGATGTGGGGTCTGGTCCTTATTATTTTTTGAAAGCTCAGGTGTTTCTGTTGTGTAGCTGGCTTTGGAATTCACTGCTGTAGTATTCCAGGGGACCTGGGTACATTGGGGTTTAGTCTCAGCATATCAAAGCTCAAGCTTCAGAGTGAAGGTGCAGAATTAGAAGAGGGACATTTGCTTCCTTCCCCTCCAGCCTCCTGTAGATAGCACCATCAGATGATCCTTCTACCACCTCATCTGAGACCTACCCCTTATCCACATGTGGGATTGAACAGGCTCTTGCCCTTTCTTGGTGTGAACTTGGTGCTAACCTTGGTAATTCTGACTTTATATCCTTACACAATTCACTTCTGGCAACTCCCAGGGTCCATCCTGCCATGCTTTTCCTCCTTGCAGAGGCCCTGCTGACTGCTCTCCATCAGGAGCAGCCCGTCCTCAGCCCTGTCATTGTCTCTCTTGATGTGCTTCACCTTGCTCTCCAAATTGGAAGATGGTTGTTATCCACTATAATCTACAATATTTCATGCAAGTTGCTCTCTGAGACCTTCCAAAGGTTGCTCTGTTCTGTCAATTCTATCATTCCCTTTGTGCAGGTACCAAGAATAATGATCTCTGGGTACCAGGCATCTGACAAATCTTAAAGTGAAAGTAAGTATCCAGGAAATGCTTTCAAAAGAAGCCTTTCCTAAACTAAGTGAAATATTCACCTCAGTGGACCAGAGGGCGAGTTCCCTGTCTTCTGACAATTTGGGGCCATTCAAGAGAGGATCTAGGGATCCTAGTACCAATTAGATTCCCAGAAGGCCACTTCATACCCTGCTGTTATTGAAGTGAACACACAGAGAGACCCTCACTGTCCCACTTCCTGTAACATGAAGGTGATTGATTTGGTCTGGGGAACTAATCAATTTGGTCTAGGGAGCTTTAAAACATCAAGTAGTTTTAAAGTTCTCTTTACTGCTGGTGATTTTAATGGGCAGCCAATAGCTAACAGACATGACATGCAAAACAACCATCAGGGATGACAATAGTAAACACAGATGCGGCTTTATTAAAGATCAGTCTAGAAAAAATAAAATTTGGACTGTGTTATGGTTTGGATATGAGGTGTCCCCTGACAGGCTTATGTGTTATGTAATACAGGAATGTCAGAGGTGAAATGATTGGATTATGAGAGCTGTGACCTCATCAGTGCATTCATTCATTCAATGGATTAGTAATTTGAATGGATTACTAGGTAGTAGCTGATGGCAGATGAGTCACAGCTAAAGGAAGAAGGTACTAGGGCCATGCCCTAGAGGGTTAATTTCTCTCTCTCTCTCCCTCTCTCTCTCTCTCTCTCTCTCTCCCTCCCTCCCTCCCCCTCTCTCTCCTCTGCTTCCCAGATGCCATGAGCTGAGTAGATTCCCTCCACCATGTTCTTCTTCTACACTGTTCTGCCTCACCTTGGACCCAGAGCAACAGAGTTGGTCATCTATGGACTGAACCTATGAAACTGTAAGCCTCAAATAAAATTATCCTCCTCTGAGTTGTTCTTGTCAGGTATCTTTGTTATAGGCATGAAAAGTTGAGTAACACAGACTTCTTCATTTTCCAGTTATATTTATCCACAGTTAATTACCATCTTCTCTTAAGATTGATTGACCTTTTAGCTTTCCTAAAATCCAATGTCCAGGACCTTTTGATGTCTGTCCTACAAGTTAAATATTTTCATTTTTTGTGTCTTGGATTAAATACCATATTTCCTGAGTCTTCTATCACCTCTAAAATGAAGCCAGTATCTATTCTGGCTCTTTTCAACATCTTCAACTGTAGTATAATCTAAACACATCATCTATGCTCATGTCCCAAACATTGTACTCCAAACAGACTTTTCAGAGCTTCTGTCTTAGAAGAGAGTTCATGGGAGTTCTGATTGCACAATTCACATTGGTCTTGGGCTGTCACACATCAAGAAGAGTGTATCTCTACTTACTACACTTGGTTGGTATTTAGATTATATGCAAAACATACAGGGTCATTAGTTAAACATATTCAAGTCAGGGGTGGGCCCAATTCTATCAGTATTTAAAGGTAGGGATAAGCCCAGAGTTGATATGTGCCAGTCAAGCCAGGCTGAATCATGAATGAGTCCAAATATGTCCTCTCTCACTGCTGAAGTCTGCCCAGCACCTCACCCCAACACCTCAATGTGATGTGACTCAAGCATGATCTCACTTCTCAGACAACTTGTCTTCTCAGCCAGTTTATGATGGGGGTGCCAAGTTGCTCATGGTCCTATTGGGAGAGGCTGGGGTGGGAGCAAAGCCAGAGGCACCTGTGTGGTTGGACCAACAACTATCACCCAGTGAACCCCAGGAAGAAGACAGATGGTGTGTTCAGACTCTGGTGCAGACTCCATGGGACACAACAGTCACGCTCCTCTGTAGATAGAGTAAGGGTCACATGGTGTCTTGATTTTGAAATCTTCTCAAAGATTAATGAACTTATTGAGGGTGTGACTTATTTTTAGCCTTCCTTTTGCAACATGACTGCATTCTGGTGGTCTTTTGGTTCATTTTCAGACACACTTTCCCTGCTTTGACAACATGCTCCCTATGACCTCCACAGGGGGACTTCTGTGGATGCATAAACTCCAGGTTTGATTCTGGATGTGCAATAGCCCCTTGAGAAAACTGTTTATGAATAACACTCTCTAACTTCAACAAACTATTCTGCTTTTTTTGGACATGATTTTGATGGTGATTATTTTGAAGAATATTTTGTTTTCCAGTTAGAATGAACAATCTTTTCCCATCAGGCTAGCTTGCATTTTTGGCAAAAGTTTGCCCTTTCTAGTTATTTTTCTCTATCCTTCCCCACCATGATAGTCCTCATGTACTTCTGATGCTGCAGGGTAAGTAAAGAAAGAGAATACCTTTAGGCTGTTTCCCATTACCCAGATCATAATTGCTTTGAGTATCAAATAAAGGACATTTTGATGAGTTCTATCCTTTAACACAGTAATATGGTACTCTCAGAGACAAATTATCAGAGTTCTCTGGGGTTCTTTTCTCTCCTGTATAAAATTAAAAAGTGGACAAGATGTTTTGTGACCTGAGAAATTGTTTTTTCATAAAATGCCAAAGAAGGGTGAGGCCATCATGTATATCATCCTGGAACAAAGCTGTGGATCAGGAATCAAAGTTTTTGTAGTATAAACCAACAGTGGGGCCTCCTTAACCACTGCAATGCTTTAGCTATCAAAACTGAAATGAGGTCATGTTGATCAACTGAAGAAATGTATATGAAAGTGCTTTGAAAATAAAATCATGTAAAATAATCATGCTTGCTATTAGGAGAAAAGAAAAGAGAATCATTGAGGAGTCATTTCTTAGCCTCTGGATTTTAAGTTTCTACTTAGTTTAAAATACCATACATAGAATTTTTCTACCCATCTTATTAATTCCAGCAACTGCAATGAAGTTCAATTTTGCAAAGGGTAATACTAAGATAATAGCAATTTGCTAATGGGAGAAGCCGTGGTTTTAAAAGTCAGCTATGAGAGTGATGAGAATAAAGCCTACTTTGAATGGCATGTTGGAAATCTGCATTGGTTTTATGGCACCAAAATAGGTCAGAAACTTTTATATTTAAAAAATTCATAGATGTGTTTCACAGTAGATCTCAGAGGAGAGGACTCTAAACTGAAGCCATAATGCTTCATATTTATGGCTCAGTGTTGCCCCAAGTTTCTGTGCAATCATAGAAAAATGTCTGACTCTCTAAGGTCAAGTTCTCCCAGTTACAGTAAGGATTAATAACACATGCTCAAAGCATTTTCAAATATTTCACTCCTACTCTGTAAGTTAAGGAAAATTTATTAAGAACATTTGTGAATCTTCTTTAAGCATTTCAGTTAAATTAAACTATAATGTAGACAAAGCATCACCTCTGACTTCACATACTGATAATGACCTAAATTTTGTAAATAAAGTCTTACAAATATGTTAGGAACGCATTTATAAAGTGAAAGATCTTTTTAAACATGTAAGTTTGTGTTTTCAAAATCATATTTTCTAAAAACATTGTCCACCTGCAGTGCCGTTTATGTTACATACACGGAGCTGCTCATGGAGGTCAATGCTAGAACTACCTTTATGTAATTGCAACATTTTAAGAAACAGCAATTACATCACCGATAAAAAACCTAATAGAAAACCTCTAACTCTGGGGAAAAGGCATATTTTTCCTAGAAATTTAAAAGTATAGAACATTAAATAATAACCTGGAGTCACAAACAAGCTGAAGCTTTTCAAGTTTGCTTTCAATCTATTGTTTTAATAAGAGAAATAAAATAAATGCATTGTATAGATAAAAATGAGTATGTTTCTTGTTGCAGGAGAAATCATCAAGAGTTGATATTTTCTATTGTTCATCATTAAAATAATTCACCCTAAGAATAGAATAATATTTAAAATTTGTTGGGGATATATCTCAAAGGTAGAGCACTTGCTAGCATGCATGTGGCCCTGTATTTGATCCCCAGTACTACAAAAGAATAAATAAATATAAGTAAAACAAAAATAAATAAAAGTTATTGGATGATCTATTTGTACAATACACACACATAATACCTTTATATTTCCTGATGTAACAAAGAAATGTTCAAGGGGAAGTGTAGATGTGACTGAAGCTTGATAATCTTTCTTTAATTTTTTATAATACTTATAGTCCATATGAATCATTTGGGATGGGTAAATTGCCTTGAATCTTTTCAAGCATGTATGTCTTATCTGTACAACTGGAAAGGGAGCTTCTGAAGGGAAGTATCCTGTGGTGCTAAGCCCAGAGCATTGTACATAACCTGGGTGCATTAATCTTTGATTGACATGCACATTTGCAGAAAGGAGTCTGTTGAGATAACACTTAAAATCTTTATTCATTGATTTACAAAATGTACAATATTTACAACATCTAGAAATTAATCTCATATTGACATGAATGAAGAGAATCTAAAAATAAATATGTGGCACATAGGTTAATACACACATCATGGCTCTTTGCACTCCAAGCCATCACCAATGGTGAGGATTTAATGGAAAATTTAATGTGGTAGAAAAGTCAGATGGCTGACCAGTCCTGGACCTTCAACATGAATGGCCCTTCCTTGGTTCCTTGAGGCTGGGGATGGTGAACAAACTGCTTTCTTTCAAGAGAATTAAACAAAAACCATTTTAACAGGTGTAGGGGGTGCATGCAGCACATCTGTGCGGTCTGCAATAACTCCCCGGGGGGTGGAGGAATCTGTACCACTGTGGACCGGATCCCTCTACACCAGCCAGGGAAGCTCTGATGTGGTCACTTTCTTATTTCTTGTTCAAATCACATGCAGTACTTGGAAAATGTGAGTGGAGTGTGACCATGCACAAAAATGTAGATATGTACAACATTACATTTTCATTGTCTTATAGCATATTTCTTTATTCACTTATTTGTGGTACTGGGGAGAGAACCCAGGTTAAAGCATCTTTAGATGCAAGATCAACCATCTCCTCTTTCAGCAAGAGAGACAAATGAGGAAGCCATACCCTTACTTTCTAGAGGAAAAACAAAAAATCACCTGGGGACACATGCAAAGGCATCCTGCACAAAATAAATTCCACATGATAAGATGGACAAATTTCTATGAAGTCAAGCCTGGAAGTTTTCCTAGGAGAATAATTCCACTTTCCTTTCCTCTTAAATCCTGCTTCATCACATATAATCTAAATCTAAAGAAAAGGCTTCATGTTATTGAGGGTTTTTTTTTTTGTGCCTCAGTACCTTCATTTCTAAAGTCTAAATACCAGTAATATTTCTCACTGAGCTTTCGCTGGGATTATATGACCTAAATTACATAAAGTGCTTAGTATAGTTCCTGGCACACAGGAGTTGCTTAATGAGTGTCTTGCTTACTTTCCCTCTACTATCCCAGCCCCAATTATAAGCAACAAGTTGATAAGCCTACCAAACTCTGAATTAAGGCTATGTAATACAATTTAGATTATTTTGTATCAAGGTTACTGCTGTCAGTTCATATTGGGTCCCTGAGGGAGTCTCATTTTATGAGCCAGAGAGTTTCCTATGCTGGACAGATGGATCCTCACAATACTGTCATGGCTCCTCCAAGTTCCATGCAAACATGTCCCATAACCCTGCAGAAAAGTTCAGACCAGTGATGGTCTCTACCAGCATATTTTTGGGACAATACCACTAAGGAAACCATGAGCAAGAACCTTGAGACAAACACATTACTCCTGCTCATGACATATTAACTTTTCTCAATACCAGTGGAAGTATTATAGATAACTTTCAACAAACATATATTACAAGCTCTACCATGGTTGAAAAATAAGTAATTCTAATTTGATCATTTTGTTCAGAATAAAGAATTTTTTTTTAGAATATATTTTAGTTTCCAGTTATGCCATACAAAAATAAATATTGTTTAAAGGATTTACAAGGGAGAACAAAGAAACACAACTTTGGGTGCCAAAAATGTAGGAAAGATGGCAAAAATTTTATCCTCTACCTCAAAAGTAAGATCTAGAAGAAAAAAAAAAAAAAAAAAAACTTCCCATGGAGTCTCTTTACTAATCTCAAAATCTATCTTTTTCTCATTCTAGTATATTATACTATTAATATAGAGACAATTTAATGCAGAACCTTCTCCCTAAGTCTCTGGGAATTTGGAAGGAGAAGGTTCTTTGGTAGTAAGAACTGTAGATAGAGAAAGCAGCTGGCTGAGTCACTGGGCCCTCAAAATGAATTACGACTAACACCCACACATCTTCCTTTCATTCTAAAGCCTCCCTGTCTAGATTAGCTACGCAAGAATATAGAAACCAACACCTAAAGAAAAGGACCCCCATCCTGCTTTGGGACTCTGTGGACACCACTGGCCCAAGTGGAATCCAGGATCTCCTGGAGCATAACTAGGCTCAAAGTCAAGGCCAGTCTCCCCAGTTCCATGAAGGGCTTGATGGGTATCAGTTCCACTAAGTTTGGGAAATTCTTTTCTAGCCGCCCTTACAAATACACCAAATTTTACATCTTCCTTTTTATCCTCCCATGCAGCTGAGGGAATATGACTGAGAGAAAAAGGCTGGGAAAATTAAATTAAGCAAATTGCTTGCTGCTCTTTCAGGAACTCAGTCAGAATCTCAAAGGAAATAGTCCAATCGTTTTGGATTCAAAGTTTTAAAATTCTAAAGCTATAACTGGATTCATGATTGTAATTAAAGCAGTGGTCCATTGCCTTTCTCCTGAAAAACAAATGTGTATACATGTCCACATAACGTATTCCTGACATCTCAGAGGGTTCCAGGTCCTCTTTCGGCTCATGCATGTATTCCAAATCAATAATCTAGGTTACAATAAACGCAGAACTATTTCTTGGAGTCAAAACAAAGGTTTGTGGTATGGAATTCAGGGTCCATACCGGGGGCAAGCTGGCTTTGATGGGGGGGTCTTGGTTAGATGCCAAATGGCAATACTGAAGCAATGCTTGTTTCTCGTAGGAAGTGGGAATGCCTGGCCACGATGACATCTGTGATTGGTGCAGTCTCACATGGGTGACTATTGTCAGGCCAATGATTCATGCATGACTATGGACAGTGAGATCCCACGGATCCCTACTAAACACGGTACTGTTGAGCTGCTATAATGTGAGTCCTAACCACACCCACAGGCAGGACACTATCACCGACATGCAGTGCGGGTGCCCATTTGTCTGATTTATAGGTGATGTTGTGGCAAACGTGGCATCAGTTTCATTTCGGGGGAGTGGCAAGTTACAGATATTTCCTTCACAGCAGGAGGTGCAGACCTGAAAAAAGGGAAGAGGAAAAGGGGGTGGTGAGAAGCCAGCTGGTCCCAGTAGGAGACAGGTGTCTTTATAGGAACTGTCTCCCTAGGGCAAAACTCAAATGAAAATGCTCTATTCCACAAGGGAAATGCCAACCAACATTTAGGGAGGTTGAGGATAATATTCCAGCTAGAAGCAACATGGTCAGAATGAAACCCCTCAGCCTTAACTCCAAGGCACTGGGGTTCTGTTTTTGACATTCAGCCACGTGGTTCCTCAAGAAGTTTCATGACCTTTGGGCTCCAGCTCTTCCACCTGTGAAATGGGGTTTTGAAAACTGCTCTTCCATTTCAAAGATGCTCTTTTTGACTACTTGAGGCAGCTGTCAGGAGGGTACACCTTCCTCTGCCAAGTTTTCACAGTGAAAATGAAGTGGCAACAGCCCCCGTAATTTAAACTTGAATATTTACTTTCATTATCGCTATCTGCATAATTATCTCCATTCTCGTGGGTGAGTTAACGTTTGAAGGGTTTTCATTTATGCAATTACTGCTGCTTTATACTGCTTTACTCCTGAATTATATGAAAGAAATAAACCCAAAGGGTTACTGATAGCAATTATTTTAGGCCATCGCTACACAAAGTACGGACCAGCAGCTTCAACATCAGCTGGGAGCTTGTTAGAAATGCAGAATCTCAAAACCTTGCTTCAGACTTAGAGAATTAGAATCTGCATTTTAATGAGATCCCAGATGATTCATATTCATAGGATGGTTAATATCCTACACCATCATCCTGCTGAGATTTGAGTCTCTGGTCATAATTGACATGGGGAGAGAGTAAAATGTTGAGAACGGAGATGTCAGAAATGAGTTTGAATCCTGTTTCTGTTGCTTGCTGGCTGTGTGACCTGAACATAGGACATAAGTTCTCTGATCCTTCATGTTCTCCTTGGTACAGACACCACAGCAACCCTTGAGCCTGGCCCTGCTGGCTGGAGGGGTCAGGTTATGACCTTGGTTTTATGTTTCATATTTCAAACCAGGAACAAGTAGGCTTTCGTTCTTAATAAGAATTTAATTCTTAGTGTATTTGAGAAGTCACTTATTAGGCGTCTGTCACTGACAGTACTGTTTCAGAGTATGAGAAAGAAAACTGCCTAAATCCCCAGGAAAGCAACCTGACAGAAGTAGGAGATGTCACAAAGGACAAGGCCTGATTTGTTAAGAGCACACTCAAGCCAGCAGGAGAGGCTGGGGCATCGCTCATTCTGACCACGAATCAGACTGCCTCTCTCTGATTCTTTATATCCTCCTTCATGGCTGGCCCCTGAACTTCATTTTACACAGAAGCACTTCTGTATACAGGCACTGACAAAGTTTAAGAGGAACAGATCCACAGGAAGGTGGTTCTCCTCACTTATCAAATGACTCAGGAGCCAGTGGAGACTTCCACAAACTAGCATCCCTCACTTTGCAGAAAGTTATCAAAGCTAAATTGCCTGGGGCCCCCTTGGGTGGATGGATTGTTGTTCCATCTGGGATGTAACAATGTTTGCTAAGGTGGCACAAGTGGTCCTCACTCCTCTCCCTTCCAGAAGCTTTATGACTCTCCTGAGTGAACCAAGGACTTAAGATCATCCTCCACATCCTTCTGGTGTGGGCCTGCACAATTTATACCTGTCCTCCTGTGCCCTGGTGTTCATTCATACTTTTTTAGAGCAGACAGAAAAGGATGGATTCTTTCCACAGTGCTCTAAGACAGGGCAGCCTACAAGTGGGGAAGGGAGAGAGCCCTCCGAGGTAGGGGGACACTTGACTATGCCATGCCATCATGAGCTGTGTTGCCAAACCTTGTGGCCTTCATGCTCCGAGTCTCTGCAGCCAGTGGACAAGCACTCTTCCAGTGGGACGCAGCGTTTGGTGACAGAGATGCTGTTTCCTGTGACTTCCATCGTGTGCTGAGTGTAACAGTATCTGGTCTCTGTTAACAGAGAAAATGTGCTTTAATTGAGATGGGAAGTGTGAGCCCAGTCTACCTAAAAAGGAACCCCACAGGGGGGCGAACACTCCTGCTACTGAAAAGGTCTAATAGTACATAGGATATATACCACCCCTAGTATATGTCCACTCCCAAAGATCTCCCCAGAGAGATCCATCTCGCCATGGTAGGACACAGCCTTCCAGAGAACGCAGGTCTCTCTATCCATGGTGAGCCCCATAAATGGAGACCTCAAGGGATCCTTCTTTGCCTTTCTAAAAATTTTGCCATTGTCCTTATCTTTAGAAGATGAGTGGTTGGGGAGTTGATTTAGGAGGCAAGGGCGGCAATTTTCAGAAAGATAAAGGGTTAAAAGTTTCAAAGTATATAGGGCTAAAAAAAAAAGAAGTTAAGCAGGTACAATGGTATTGCAGGGGATGGAAGACACAGCAGAGGCTGGTGTGTGTGTGTGTGTGTGTGTGTGTGTGTGTGTGGAGAGAGAGAGAGAGAGAGAGAGAGAGAGAGAGAGAGAGAGAGAGAGGTATTCCCATGTAAGGGCAGAACTATTAGAGACACATTTTATTTTGAGAAAATGACTCCCTTCAAGAGAATGTCTTGCCACCGAGCATAGCTGGATCTAGGATGTATTAGGAAGAAAGATTAACCCAACAACTCAGGTGATCCAAGAAGCTTCATTTCTCCCAGTATGATTCCAGTGTCTTTCTGGGACAGAAGATGTTGACCGTGATGGAAGCTCATAGAAGTTCCTCTAAACTCATGAGTCTGAAAGCTCAAGGTTTATTTCAAAATTCTTTTTAGAGAATTATTTTATTGGTAATTTAAAAACTAAAGAAAAATGGCTTTGTCAACGTAATTCTTCAGAGCCTCCAGGCAGCGTTCAGCTCTCTAAGCCTGGGATTTAAGAGAATGTTCAAGTTCTACTTTCACATTAAAAAAGAAAATGAATAATTCTTAAGAAATGTCACTGAGCTGTTTTTCATCCATATCTTAGACCCAAGTTTGCATGCTTTATACATTTTGGATATTTAGTGGCTAATATGGAATTATGATCTTCTATGATATTATTTATTAGGCCATAAAAATTTCCCCCACCAGATTTTGTCATGATTTTGGCAGCTTTTAACCAAAGCGCTAATGTTTAAAGAAGAAAGCTTAAGAATTTTAGCTCCCCAGAATGAACTAATGTAGACTGCATTGAGTCAAGAAAACTCTGTTTTTATTTTTATTTTTTTATTTTTGGTAGCAGAGATTGAACTCAGGGGCACTTTACCACTAAGCTGCATCCCCAGCATCTCCAATCTCTGGGACCCCCCCACCCTCTTTTTTTTGAGACTGGGTCTCACTGTGTTGTGTAGAGGCCTTGCTAAATTGCTAAGGCTGATCTTAAACTTGCAATCCTCCTACCTCAGTCTCCAGGGTGGCAGGAATTAGAGGTGTGGGTCACAATGCCCAGTGAAAATTGAGGGTTTTGAAAGTCTTCTCAAACATCCCACCTAACAGGAATCCCAAATGGCTTCTTATTGACCGGGTCAACATCCTCCCCCAGATGCTGTCCCCACACTGCACCCTGGCTTAGATGTTGGAATTTTTTTTTTTTTTTTTTTTTTTTTTTTTTTTTTAAGAATCAGGTTGAGGCTGTCTCAAGCTTGCTCAGAATTCTATGGAGCAGTTTGGAGGACAGTGGCTTCAGATACTTACCACACCTTCCAAAGAGGCCGGGTTTACTTCTCAGGTATCAGACTCAGTGGACATTTATGGCTACAATAGGTGCACCTTCCCATCCCCGCCCCAAGTTCAAATGTTCTGGAAAGCAATAAAAACTGGAATGTTCTTATCTCCTGTCTCCTCTTCATGCAGACAACTAGGAGCAGCTGCCAGAGGTTTTATAGCTCCAAACGTAAATCTGAGCAGATAAGATCATACACTTATGGAATAAGTAAATCACTACGTGGTTTCAGTTTGGGAAATTAGGTTTGTCCCCCAAGTAATGAATTATCTTGCTTTAAGAATCAAGCCTTAAAATAACTACTGGTGAACTTGATAGATCAATTCTGTTTATACTTCCCTGTCCACAACAAACCCCCTTATTTATTAATGAAGCACTCTTTCCATTGAATGAAAGTAGTAGCAACAATTGATAAGAAAAAATTTTTTCAGGAATATATGGAAAACCCTTGCACCTAATAAGCCAAATCTCGCCTTTCTAGAGGGAGAAGATAGATCAGTGAAGTTTTCTTATACTTCACCAAGTCCAGTTGATAAAACAAAGGTACACTGAGAGCACTGCCTTCATGTCCAGCAATAGAGACCTCAATTCTAAAGCATTGATCCCTCAAATTATCTATTCCATTTCTCATCTTACAACATTCCTAGGTGAGTTATGAAATATTAATGTGGAAAAGGGTTCTGCAGTTTGGGAAATGCTCAAAAAAACTGAACTGGTTTCTTTGGTGTGTATTTTATGAGAGTCTCCCACACGCTCTGAGGTCTGTGGATTCCAAAGGTATTTTGGAGAAAGCAGACAGAATTTCCCAAGCAAAACCAGGTGTACCACATGGGGCTTATCACTGGAGTGTAGTAGTAATAAAAAACAAGTTTCAGCCACAGAGCATTGCCCTCTATGCATTTTGAATAATCTTCGGGTTAGTAATGAGGTTATATGAGAATCAAGCCTGCTGATAACTTCACACTAAAAGGATTTCAAAGACTTTTATCTAAAAGATAAAAGACGGATTTGAATTTCTACCAGGTTAGTTTTAGCCTCTAAAACCTCAAACTCTGCTACTGACTGATACTTCCAGAAGTTGTGAAATAAACTCTTTGACTCTCAGTAAAATCAGAAATGGAAAAGAGAGCTTAATCAACAATTGGAAAGCTCAAAATATAATTTTCATAAAATTCTCTCTCTTTCACACACACACACACACACACACACACTCCATAATGTATCTCTGAAATCTAAAACTAATTCAAAGCTAAAATGAAAACTTTTATTTACTCACCAATATTCCATTTCCAATAAAAGAAACTGTATTTAAGCAAACTGTATTTAAGGTGTATGATGATTTAAATTAAAACGAGACATTACACATGTTTACCTCTCAGATAAAAGACTTTCTTATCACTCAATTATCTCAATTATTCTCTGGGGCTCTGTTAGTTTTTTTTTTAAATAAAGATATATAATGTTTAAAGTGATGCTATAGGACAATTCCCTAGGTACAAGAAAATGAATGGGAAGAAAATAACTTAAAGAATAATATTACAGATTATAGTGGAAAAAATAAAACTCTAGTGCCATCTGTCCACACACTCCCTGCCCAATCCCTCACATCTGCCATGGACTGTCAGACAATGACCTATAATATAATAGTATAATAAATGACATTAATATAAATATTATGTTTATGTAATAAACACAGTATCTATTATATAATAAAATAATATAAAACAAATAATATATCATATATTAATTAATATTATCTAATATATATAAATTTATATGATTAAATATAATATATAAAATAATATAATTTATATGTTATATATTTACATTACACATGATTATATGTAATGTATAAAATACTAATATATAAAATATAATCATATAAAATAATAATATAATAATAATTACATAAATATATTAATATAATGGCCTTTAGTAGAGTAGGTGTCATAGGTGATGCTCCTTTCTCACGTCTGCCTCTGCAGGATTTTTTTGTAGCTCTGGACTCTATCATGTATAATCTCCTCTGTGGGATTCCCCATCCAGACTTTAGAGGTGTTGTCATTTTTATTTTCTATATCTCTGGTCTCTTCTCTTCCATCACTTTTAGAAACCTGAAAGTTGATACTCTCCCAAGTTCTATCCTTGAAACAATTTTCACTCAAATGACCTCATCAATCTTCTGATGCCAACTCTCGGTCTGCTTCTTTCTCCTGAGCTACAGAATGAAAATTTCCAACTATCTCCTGGACACAGCCAGTATCACCGTACAAGTCACATGTCTCTAACCAAACCTCATTTCCCTCCTGAAATCTGTTTATCTTCATGTGGCCCTGTCTCAGGAAGAGACCTCCTGAGAGGGCCATCTTCATTTTTGCAGGGAGTGAAGACTAAACTTTGGAATCAGCTTACATTTCTTTCCCTAATCGGAGGTGTTGTCGTTTTTATTTTCTACATCTCTGGTCTCCTCTTCCAGCACTTTTACTAACCTATTTCGATATTAATACCACCTACTTGCTAAGGAGTGCTGGCTGCTGCAGTGCTAGGTGTATTTGGTTTACCCAAGTAGCAGGTATGAAGGCTGCTGCCTCTCCCTGCTCCTGAGGCTGGAACCAGAGTAGAAGAGTAGCTGTGCTCCCCATAGTGCCATCAGTTAGATCTGCCATTCAGAGCTTCACATTTGAAACTCAGCACTTACTACTCCAGGTTCTCCTTGATCAAGGCCCCAAAGGAGCTCATGGTTGTCTCCTTAAGATGCTGTACCACAACTTTGTTCTTCACAGGAAGACATTTTATGCATCTTCAGCTTGGTCTAAAATCCATTTTTCTACCTTCCATTTTTGGAAACCTGATGTTCTGTAAGACTCAATACAAACTGACAAATTCTGTGAAACCTTCCCTGATTTTTCTCTCAAATAGGTCGATGTTAATTTTTTGCTTCCATGTTGCCTTTCTTTTTATTTTTTTCCCAGTGCTGGGGATGGCACCCAGGGCACTGAGCATGCTAGGTTGGGCAAGTACCCTATCCCTTAACTTCCTAATTTGGTTAAATCTGGCTTTCCTTATAGATTAGGATTTCTCAAACTTGGCAAGATTGACTTTCATTTTTAAAATGGTTAATTTTAAAAAATTAAATATTTTAAGACAATTATAGATTCACATCAGTAAGAAATAAGAGAAATCCCATGTGCCTTTTGCCCAGTTTCCCCACAAGGTCATACATTATAAAACTATTGTACATTACTATCACAATCAG